CTGTGCCTGATATCTTCAACCCGCAGCCGCAGAGCCGAGCCTCCGAGTCCCTGACTCCTCTGGTGTGAGGGAGAGAAGCGTCCATCTTGTTCGCCGTGATGACGCCGTGGAGAGGACCCGCTCGTAACACGTCGTAGTACGTTACTGAGAAAAAATTATTTCCCCATCTGTCGTTAATCCGGAGAAAAAGCGACGGTGTAGAATTTTATTCTCAAAGAAAATTAACTGGTGTGTTAATACCTTTTTATCTTCTCCTCCTCTGGTGTGAGAGAGAAAAATAAAAAACGTCCTCGCTACCGTGGTGTCGGTAGTGAGGGAAGGCAAGCTAGCAACAGGTGTGTCACTAGCTTGGAAAATCAAAACCTTACCTTTATTTCCGAAGAAAGAAACGGCGAGGTAGATTGCAATACTAACTGGTGTGTTATTATTAACAGTCTTTTTTGCGAAGCAGAAAAGTAGCCGGCGAGCGCCCGTCGACCGAAAGTTAGCTTTGGGTTCAATCTGTGGACTGTTAAGCTAGCCCGGCTACTGATATGTTGAGATGTGCTCTGAAGCGAGAAGAGGTGTTTGAATGACGCTGCGACGTGGCGCAAGCTACTTATAGGGTGGGTGGAATCCCTGACGCTGACGTCAAGATCACCAGCCAATCAGGATTGGCGTAATGAGATTCATGCTTCCGTTTGCTCCGCGATGAGGCGCATCCCATAGTGAGACATCGAACGGAGTGTTATGAATGAGAACACACAATCACAACCACCTGAAGTTTGGTTTGATTGCTGTGTCAAAGTGGCATCAGGATTTGACCTCCCTCTGGCTTTCCTTTCCGTTCTTTACACAACATTTCTGTAACTCTTTGTGTAAAGAGAAGTGTGAATATGTCTTCCGGTAGCATGTGCTATTATCCTAGTTTCAAATCATGACTGGGTCTCCAGTACGGCTGTACTAAAAAGGTGTAAAACTCCATGTTAGCATTGTCATTCTGAGCAAGTTAGCATGTTAGCCTCAAGTTGCTGCTATGCCAGTACAGTCCCCCAGAGCCTCTTGAATGGCTGTCAATTCATTGTCTTGTTACTGTCTAAATTACTTAAAACAAGAATGACACAGTTGACAGTTTATTACGTACACGTAAATAAAAGTGATGCAGTCTCATACAACCGCGAGGCTGTAGCCCCACCATTCACAAAGGTCATACTGTTCTGTTAAATCTATGAGAGATATTTGAATGGGAATCTAAGGCCTTTAATTTGAGCTGCTTTTGGATTGTCAACAGTGCTCAACTTTCCTTTCTGCGTATACTTTTTATATTCTTCTTATATTACTGTATTGTTGTTTCCATCTCACCTGCACATCGCTGCGCTCTGCCTCGATGCTGCTGCAGGGGGCACTGTAAATCCAACAGCAGGTGGGGGGTAGACTACCTCCGTTCTCCTCTTCAAACTTAGAGCCCACAAAGTCTGTGTAGTTGTTGAAACCGCAGCACTTCAGCTGAGAGGAAAAGCAAGAAAACACTTTTGTTTATATACAATGTGCAATTTTGGACGAAAACTTTTAGTTTCGTAAAGTTTAGTAAAAGCCTTGCTGCTGTGTGAGTTGAGGTTGTCAGTTCAGTTTGTTGTCTGAGTATTTCTATTCAGATGCCATATATTTTCCAGCCTTGGAATTTGTGTTGCATGTCATACCTCTCCGCCCCCACCTTTCTACGGTGTCCTCTATCCGAAATAAGGAAAAGATTTGCACAAAAAAGTTGAAGGTTGATCAGTAGTATTCACTGTGTTGCACTTAGAGGTTCTGTGTGTTAAAGAAAGTAACCATGACACTGTTGGCACAGTAGCTTTGAGTTTTACAAATCACTGTTTTTAAACTCTTTGAGTGTTAACAAGTGAATTCCATTCACTTAAACATTAAATTAAACCAAAACTTCTGCTTCTCTTGATAGAAGTAAGAACATGTGTTTCCAGTCAAGGTTGGAACATTCAACACTTTTTCTTTGCATTCTCAAACCAGTGGCATTCCAAGTTTGTTTTTCATTAAGTGAGTTAAGGAGGGGATAAAAGCTGAGTTACCTTGACTAAGGCATGAGTGCAGGTGAGTTGAGGTAAAACTGATGGACAAACCCAGAGAGATGGCATGCACGCTCTAGAGTTCTGTTATGGCTTTTGTCTGATTTCCATTGAAAGATTGGTAGCATAACACTTTAACCACAGGAAGTCTGTTTATTATTATTCAGCTGAGTGAAGGACAGTGTGAGAGGGAGAAACCATTGAATAGTCCATTGTTTACACTCAAAAGCCAGCATGACCCATTATCTACTATCCATGGGGTTGACTGTGATGCCTCAGAAGGTTTATTTTCATTGAAAGGAAGGGACTTTAAAAAATGTGACAAAGTGACACCGCCTTGAGTTATGCACATCATAAAGCTTTAATACAATTTGGAAAAATGACATGTATAAAAAAATGTAAACAGTGGTCATGAATGGGAAAATGTGCTACAGTATATATACCAAAACAATGTGTTGTACCAGGCTGTAAATCTGTTTATGTATTATGCTAAGGGATTCTGGGATTGACTTGCTTGACTGTTTTTGGCATAGATGTATAAAGGGAACTGGATACAGAGTACACCATTTGCTTAATAGCACATGAAGCCAAAATGGTCTGACTCTCTTGAAAGCAAAAGTAACCCATCCACTCTCAAGATAATTCTCGGCACAGTCAAATCAATGGAGAAGGAAAATAACTCTGGGTTGGGCTTTAAGCGTATTTTACAACTTTTGAAACCTAAAGATTTAAAAGAGGGCTATATAAGTGTTTGTACTGGGTAGGTCATTTAGCGAAAAATTAAATATAGCGCTGAGTTACAGACAAAAAGTACTTTAGTGCATTTACGTATTTAGTGGTGTTACAGAGAAACTGTAGTTGTAGTACCACCGTTTGGCCACTATATGATTTTGTTTGTTTTGGCACTTGGCTTCATTTTCTAGCACAAGCAGTTGGGTTTTCCTTTACATACATTTGCAGTTGTTGTGACTTAATGCAGAAAAAGTACTTTGATTTCTGAACATGCAATTGGTGAAAACGAGATACTGTACCTCTGTCATGGTGGTGTTCCAGATCTTTGTGACCACAGGATCGCTGCCGTAGTCTTTCTGTAAAGCAGGGGTCACCCACGCTCTGATGATCCCCTCAGCCTGAGGGAAACATACTCAGGTTGAGAAGTTTGTTGGCAGAACCTTATCCTGAATCTGATTTTAGCTTTATCAAACACAAGTATTCCTGGTTTTAAAGAAATGTCCTCCAAAGATTTATTTTTATTTTTGTGGAGTCTATTTTTGTTTAACATTAGAAAGACTGATTCTTATTATTACATTACAAGCTTATTGTGCTCATTTAATGTGGCTGTGACTTTGGAATAAATAGACGTCTTTAGCCTGAAATACAGAGTAGCAAGGTCAGGTGCAGACACTGGAAGAATACAAAGAGTTATTCATAAACAGGACATCACTCCGGCCTTGAGCTTTGGGTGAGCTCCACTCCCACACATAGCTAGGAAGCAGCCTTATGAAGATTCCACTTTTTCTGTAGAAACGTTAGTGAAAACAAATTAAGTATGATGGTGCCAGAGTAGGGAGGGACTTCCACAGGCCGGCCGAATGCTGATTGGGAGGATCGTGTTGCCAAGAGACTCTATCTGAGTCTGTGCACCTACCAAAGAGAACCAAGTCCAAACAACGGTATCTCTTCATCTAGTCTTGACCAATCATAAATGTACGGGCAACGCCCTGTGTAATAAAAATGTATTGTCGTTCGAGGCTCTTTCCAGAAATAGTGGTTACAGATTACAGTTTTGCTGTCTGTAATTTCTATGACGTGTCCTTGGTCAAGTGAATATATATCTTTTGCTCTCTTATAATAAATAGTTAAACTTAGAAGTTGTCTGTCTTTCCTGGAATTTTGAACACAACATTTTCAAAAAACTATCCTTTCCTCACATTTCAGAAAAAATGTATTCCAAAATGTCCCAACTGTCCATAGTTGACATCATTATCTGTAACGTTCCTAACCTTTAAAGTCTGACAAAAGATTCCCATTTTTTAATCAATCAATCAATCAATCAATCAATGTTTATTTATATAGCCCAATATCACAAATGTTACATTTGTCTCAGTGGACTTCGCAGTTTCTACAGAATATCAGTATGACAATACGACACCCTCTGTCCTTAGACCCTCACATCATACAAGGAAAAACTCCCAGAGAAAACCCACAGTTTAAAGGAAAAATGGGAGAAACCTCAGGGAGAGCAACAGAGGAGGGATCCCTCTCCCAGGACGGACAGACGTGCAATAGATGCCGTGTGTAAATTGAAAAGATAATACATTTGCAACATAGGTAGTCCAAATGTTTGGAAATGCATGTGTGTATAATAGGAAGATGAATCCACGAGGATATCCATCCAGGACTTATGATCCAGGACCACAGCCACGACTCAAGATCCAGGACTCGCGATCCATGACACAGGACCGCAGGATCATCCATGACTCCGGATCCCGGCGTATATAGACACCAAAAAGAAAGAAATTTGGGGAAGCTGGGTTAATCGGAACCTGAGAGTACACAGGTATAGACGGAGAGAAGGAAGAAGTAAGATGTCCCCCGACAAACTAAGCCTATATCAGAAAAACTAGGGGATGAATCTAATCAGCCCTAACTATAAGCTTTATCAAAAAGGAAGGTCTTAAGCGCACTCTTAAAAACGGATAGGGTGTCTGCCGCCCGAACACAAACTGGAAGCTGATTCCACAAAAGTGGAGCTTGATAAGAAAAGGCTCTGGCTCCCATTGTACTTTTAGAGACTCTAGGAACAACCAACAACCCTGCATTCTTGGAACGCAATGCCCTAGTAGGACAGTAGGGTATAATGAGTTCTTTAAGGTAAGATGGCGCCTGCCCATTAAGGGCTTTGTAGGCCAGAATAATTTTAAATTCTATCCTGTGTTCTATAGGGAGGGCTGTGTTTGCATACAATATAACTTTGCATATTTAAAAAATGTACTTGCACTCTTATGATTCTAAATCTATGAATGGGTTCTAAAAAATGACATTATTATTGTGAAAACTATTTGTTNTGGCTAGGCCACTCCAGGACCTTGAAATGCTTCTTACGAAGCCACTCCTTCGTTGCCCGGGCGGTGTGTTTGGGATCATTGTCATGCTGAAAGACCCAGCCACGTTTCATCTTCAATGCCCTTGCTGATGGAAGGAGGTTGTCACTCAAAATCTCATGATACATGGCCCCATTCATTCTTTCCTTTACACGGATCAGTCTTCCTGGTCCCTTTGCAGAAAAACAGCCCCAAAGCATGATGTTTCCACCCCCATGTTTCACAGTAGGTATGGTGTTCTTTGAATGCAACTCAGCATTCTTTCTCCTCCAAACACGTCTAGTTGAGTCTTTACCAAAAAGTTCTATTTTGGTTTCATCTGACCATATGACATTCTCCCAATCCTCTTCTGGATCATCTAAATGCTCTCTAGAAAACTTCAGACGGGCCTGGACATGTACTGGCTTAAGCAGGGGGACACGTCTGGCACTGCAGGATTTGAGTCCCTGGCGGCGTAGTGTGTTACTGATGGTAGCCTTTGTTACTTTGGTCCCAGCTCTCTGCAGGTCATTGACTAGGTCCCCCCGTGTGGTTCTGGGATTTTTGCTCACCGTTCTTGCGACCATTTTGACCCCACGGGGTGAGATCTTGCGTGGAGCCCCAGATCGAGGGAGATTATCAGTGGTCTTGTATGTCTTCCATTTTCTAATAATTTATATATATTTATAGCAAACAGCAGACACAAAGCAACATTACCACCCATTTGCACTGTTTGTTTCCACTGCTAAACGTCCTTTAGCCTCTGTTTGGTTAGCAATATCACACTCAGTGGACTTTACAGAAACAAACCACAACATTTTAAACAATACAATTACTGGAAAATAATGAAAAGACAAGATAGTGTAAAATATAAATAAAATGAATTAAGAGACAACAAAAGACAATTAAAACCAATCTAACAATAAAATAAAATGAAGGAACCAGTAGGACGAACATAGGGAATAATCTGAAACCAGCTTTTACTAAAGGCTTGGTCTTGAGCGCATTCTTAAAAGTATGGACACTGTCTGCCGTTCTGATAAAAAAAGGAAGTTAGTTCCACAGAAAGGGAGCTTGGTAGCTGACTATCTGATTCCTGGCCTGGTTTTGCGGATTCTAGGAACCATTTACAGACCTAGACCATGGAAGCGTAATGTTCTAGAGGTGGATTACAAATTTAAAATAGGTATGGTGGTGCCTGACCATTAAGTTCTTTGTAAGTACTCAATTCTGTACTTAACTGGGAGCTGCTAAAATTGGAGTCCTTTGGAGTATGGTCCTTTTTCCTTGTTTTTGTTAATAGACGGGCTGCAGCATTTTTAACCCGTTTTTTATGGATGTGTAGGGAGGGACAGCCTGATAAAAGGAAGTTGCAGTAATTCTGCAACGTTTTGATCTAGCTGTATCAGTGAAAACAAGATGTGTTTCTTGGTTTGGTTCTGGGTTCATCGCAAGTCAGGGTTTAACAGTGACAATGAGAGCAATGGGACCATAACCAAAAAATTAAATGTGGGTCATAAAACCAAACAACAAGCTCAAAGACACCAAAAGCTCGTAGAACCGCAAGGTTGCATTATAATTCTCTGCAGGTTTGTCACCTTTTATATTATGCGTTGACATTTGATCCATTGTTGATAGAAATATTGATCAATGCACTTTCAATATTGACATTTACTGAACATTTGAAGAGTCTCCTTTCTGAAATCTATAACTAAAATATGACTACGGAAATCATGCCTTTGCACAAAAGACTGAAAAGCAATGGGGGATATTCAAAACATCTCTGCTAAGTGTCTTATACTTTCTGTAGCCCCCTTTGTGTTTTTCTTTCTTTTCATGTTGATTGCTCTCTCTTCCTATCATAGTCATTCTGTTTCTCTCTTTCATATTTAAAGTATATTATTATATAGACTCTCTTGTTGCTGTTTTCTCTCTGTAAAAGCCTGAGCATTTGAGATTAAAGCAGAATTCAGCAGCGATAGATAACCTGCTGCATGGCTGAACAACGCTCCGCCTCCTGTCTATTGTCAGACCTTTTATTAATCAATATTTACTCAGCCTTGTGTCACAATGCATGTAATCTTCACCGGCAGGAGCTGGAGCACTGATAAATAGTATGCGGGACAAAAGAAGTGCTGCTTCCATTCACATACATCGCCAGAGCAAATAAGCTTTGAAAACATGTTAAACAAAACACTTTGTTTTTGAGAAAAGCTCAGTGGTACTGCCATGTTAGTATAGAAAAACAAGGATAAATTGTGGTCTTGGACATCTCAATCATGAAAGCATTTTGAAACAATGAGCCCTGGGGCATAGATATAACATTAGAGCACTCTTTTGTATTATAAACTCTACTCATTGTACGCAGAAAACTGTGCAAATGTGTGTTCATTACGCGTCACTTTGGTGTTGTTTTGCATTTCTTTAGTTTTTTTCTTTGTCTCCTTGTGGCCGTTATGCATCCCTTTGCTGTAGTTTGGCATCCCTTTGTGGTCGTTTTTGTCTCTGGCTGTTTACATCTCTTTAAAGGTCCCATGTCATGGCCATTTCTACTGATCATAATTCCATTGTTGAGGTCTACTAGAATAGATTTATATTGTGCAATTTTCCAAACTCACATTGGTTTCTCATACAGCGTCTCTGTATAGTATGTGTATTCACTCTCTGTCCTAAACGGCTTGTTGGAGCTCCTGCCCCCCCCCCTCCCTGTGAGCCCACTGTGCTCTGATTGGTCAGCTCGCCCACTCTGTTCTGATGAGTCTACCACCGTTACAGCGGAACATCAGTGATTATGTGTTACAATGGCGTTTGTTAGCAACCAGAAAAAGACACCAGTAATGACAAAACAGATGAGAATGCTGCGTGGGGTCTGGGTGCCGTGTTGGCGGGACGTTGCGAGGCTTGCTGCTGTGAGGAGCGGACAGTGTGAGCTGGCTTACTGGTGTGGTTTCCTGGTTGCTGCGTAGGGTCAGTGAGACAGCGAGACATAGCGAAACCCAGCCCGAAACCAGTCCAAGCACACACACACACCCGCAGCCTGGCTGTGG